ATACCAATGGTAACAATGAGGATCTCCAAGGATACCGTCCTGTAGTCTTTTTCTCAACTGTCCAGTGGATCTCCCGGGATAGCGTCCCGTAGCCATCATATGTGTATATCCAAAGGATCTCCAAGGATACCGTCCCGTAGTCCAACTATCAATGTGCAGGGGGATCTATCGGGAATCTAACCCGCAGTCCCAAAGTAAATAGGCAAGGGGATCTATCGGGAAACTAACCCGCAGTCCCAAAGTAAATAGGCAGGGGGATCTATCGGAAATCTAACCCGCAGTCCCAAAGTAAACAAACAAGGGGGGGAGCTACCGGAATCCCGCATCCGTAGTCCCAATGTAAATGCGCAATCACAACCAGAAGATATTCATAAATGAAGTACAAAAGACAAGCATTAGGTAATACTAGCCTAGCATGCTTCACGTAGTACAAGTCAAGGCAACTTAAACAATTAGGCAAGTTAAATCAACTAAACATGTTTTTCTAATCTAACACAAGTTATAATTATAAGTAAAACAAGGCAAATATGAAGGAAACTCAGTCTCAATATCTTAAGTAAAAACCGGATTTTTCAACAATTAGCTCAAGTACGCGCTCGTCACCTCCGTACAAGGCACTCAATCACCAAATATCATATCCTAAGGGGAAAGGTCCCCCACACAAGGTTAGACAAGCCACTTACCTCGAACCGGCTCCAAAAATCAACTCGAAATCACACTTTTGCCACGAGTATCCGACTCCAAATAGCCCAAATCTATTCAATTCAATTACATATCGTAAATAACATCTCAAGCAACTGATTCTACTATTAAATTCAAAGACAGGACGCGAAATTAGGTAAAATGACCAAAATGCCCCTCAGGCCAACATCTCGGAATCGGATAATTTTCACATTTTCAGAACCCTCGTACTCTCACGAGTCTAACCATATAAAAATCTCCCAAATCGGAGGTCAAACACCCACTCAAAACTCAATAGTTTGGTCTATGAAGTTTTCCCCATTTTTCATTCAAAAATCTGAAATTAAGGAAGAATTCGTGATTAGATTAGTGGGCTTTAAGCATAAGAGGGTAGAGAATCGTTACCCAATCGTTGCCCTCGAAAACCCCTCGAAATTGCTCCCAAATCCGAGCTCCCAAGCTTGTCTTTTGATAAAAATGGCTAACCCTCGGTTTTGAATTATTTAATACTGCCCAGGTCCGTTATGCATCGCGAACACGGAGGTATGCTAGCGTTCGCGAAGACAAAAATATGAGCTGCCCAAAAAATGCCCTTCGCGATCGCGAGGGGCAGACCGCGAACGCGAAGGCCTGGGTTGACGAACCTGTGCGAACGCGACAAACGGAACGCGAACGCGATGGAGGAAAATATCGAGGTCCGGAATTTGCTCTACGCGAATGCGTGGAAGCGTTCGCGAACGCGAAGAACGAACTGGCATAGATACGCGAACGCGTGAAGTTCTATGCGAACGCGATGAAGAAACAAGCTGGGCTTCGCGAACGCAGGAGAGGTTACGCGAACGCGAAGAGGAAATTTCCCAGGTGGACAATTAAGCCCTCGCGAACGCGAAGGGAAGCTCGCGAACGCGAAGAAGGGATACCAGAAGCAGCAACAGCAGTTCAAAAATAGGAGAAAATGACCCGTTGAGCATCTGAAACACACCCGAGGCCCCCGGGACCTCAACCAAACCTACTGACATATCCCATAACATCATTCAAACTTGCACCAATCCTTAAACCACCTAAAACAACGCCGGAAACTCGAATTAATCAAGAATTTGAGTCTAAGAACTTCAAATTTCATCAAAATACGCTTTCGATCAAAAACCTAACCAAAACACGTCCGTATGACCTGATATTTTGCACACACATCCCAAATGACATGACGGAGCTACTGCAACTTCCGGAATTTCAATCCGACCCTCGGATCAAAAACTCACTGTCGAACCGAAAACTTCAAAAATTCAAACTTCGGCATTTCAAGCCTAAATGAGCTACGGACTTCCAAAATACATTCCGAACACGCTCCCAACCCCGAAGTCGCCTAACGGAGCTAACGAAATCATCGGATTTCCATTCCAAGGTCGTCTTCACACTGTTCTAACTACGGACCACTTTTCAACACTTAAGCTCTCATTTAGGGACTAAGTGTCCCAAAACTCTCCGAAACTCAACACCGAACGTCCCGGCAAACCAAAATAGCATAAATGAACTTAGGCGAAGCAGTTAATAGGGGATCGGGGCGTTAATTCTTAAGGCGACCGGCCGGGTCGTCACATAATCCCAAAATGAGGAACGGTGACTAAACGGAAAGATGAGAAGTAGAGCTACGGGAACTGAGCTAAAGAACCGAGAAAGATAATCAAAGGAGGCAATGTACACATAAGGAAGTAAATGGCTAAAAGTTTCTGAAAAAACAAAACCTTCGCCTATTTATAGGGTTGGATGGCGCGAGAATCGAAGCAGAAGACTGCCAATGGCGCTAAAACCAAAGCGACAAGCAATCAGACGCTGTCTCGGGAAGGTGCGTAATGATGACACGCGTGGGACTGACGTCATATCCTGATAACTACATCAATCAGGATTCCATGGGACGTGTCGTTTTCTCGGCCTTGACCAAACCGGCGCAATTCAATAGCCAAATTCTCCATAAACAGATGATATCCGTTTATCAAGGACGTGCCGGGTCACGACCTCAACAAGCGGAGGGACTAACTATATTGGTCCAAATTTGGCAACCACGGCAACGGATTAGCAAGACATGGGACGGAGCCACTACAACACAACGACTGACGATCGTTGTGGCAAAGGACGACGGCCAGAGGCGGGTAGCTGAAATAACATAGTATCGGTAGTTTAAACTTAGAAAAGGACAGGAAGAATATGCCTTTTGGATATTCTTTATGTTGTACTTTTTAGGATTTTTTGAAAAATGTCCCTTATAAATAGGAGGAGATAGTAAACAAAGGGGGACCGGCCTTTTTCGAAGAACACATTGTAAGAGAAGAGAGAGAATATGCGAAAGAATTGTCTTATTCACTTTATCTAAGCATATGTTGTTTGACCTTCATCCATAAATCTTTAGATTCAACATTTATATCAGCTGCAGACCCTTTGTGTGTCGACAAAAGGAAGAATCATCCAATCACATAATCATTGGGTGACAATTTCCTCTCATTATAACCATTGTCGTTTCTTGCATTCATTGCACATTTATGATATTATATACACTGTCATTAAGTTTACTGATTAGCCTTACTAAAATCTTCTCGTTGTATTAGACTTTCGTTCTATTTGATCTTGGATTTATTAAGCTCAACTAAGATTCACCCCATTAATTTATTATTGATTGGTTTAGCAATTATTTGCTCAAACAATGTATTCATTCTTTCACATTTTATTCGGTACAAAATATTATTGCAGAATTAATTAATATCAGAAATCAAATGTTTCATACCAAGAACCAAATTCTGTACTCTGTTATTACAATGCGTAGTTAAAACTGCATCATAGAAAAGTCTAGATTGGGTGATGACAGAGATTCACACGACATGATATCATTTTTACACTTTATTGTTCTTTCTTCTCTCCAAGTTAAACAATTTTAAACTGGGAGTATATGAAGTCTTTAACTTTTTTCGTCTACGTCGTACTTTCAATCGTCATACACAATTGACAGTGTCAGATTTTAAATGAAAAAGCCAAAAAAAAAAAAAAATAGCTTTTTCCTATTTTATTTTTTTTATTTTTTTCGGAATCGGTGTCTGGCCATGAACAATTTACTTAGATTTATTTAATCCATAATGGATTCAATCAAGTTAAGTGAGATAAGCAAACTTGATTTCTTTTTTAGTTTTAGTAGAGTTCCAATGAAAAACGGAAAACCACCCAATTGAAGGAAATGCCCGAATTTTCTATTTCGAGGATCAATAAAATAAGAGGTTTTGTCGTTATAGAACACGGAATTCAATGGAAGCAATGATAAAAAAATACAAATAGAAAAGGAAAGGGAGGAAATACAAAAAAATAGAAATTCCAAATCCAACTTAAAGTTGAATTTCGAAATTTTTCGAAATGGTTAACCTCCAAGAAGTTATTTTCACAATTTTCATTCTAAACCGCTCAGAAAATACCATTTTTAACTTAAATTTTCTTTTTTCGCTTTTATTGAAATTCACAACTCTGATGTCCAAACGTCCACTTAGACTTTAGCTAAGTCCTCAACTATGCGATTCTTTTGAACAAAAGCTGGCTATTCAGTTACATATATATGCAACCAATCATGTCAAACTTACCATGAAAGGGTTATGATGGGATGAACAATATACGTTAACTATAGGTGTTGGATTAGAGCCATGTAACTTGTAAGTGGAACAAAAAAACTAAATAAACTATCTAAATTGTGTATTGCTTATTATTTTTGTAGCAAGACAACGTGAGTTTCGATTACACTACATCATAAAGAAACAAGACGTTTAATGTACTTATTTTTTATGCGTAATTGAAATTGTCATTTGTACTAGTTGGTAACCTATACGTAGCTTTACTCACTATGGAGTTTAAGAGAAAAAAATATTTAAGACTTTTAAAACTTATTATAGTCTTAAAAGATTAAAAGGGTAAAAGCCTTGTGAGACGATAATATTTATGCGTATCTAAAAGTTTCTCATTGGGGTTAAAATAAATTATTCTCAAACATAAAAATATGTAATTCTTTCTATAAGGAAACTGTATACAAAAATTGAACTGAGGGAGTGTATATGTCGTCACATGAATATAATTTTCAGCCTTTTCTTTTTATTCCGTCTGATAATTTTTCTCTTCGCGGTCTTTTCCCCAACGTGTACGGTATTAATTCCTACCTCTCAAATTTCAAGTGGAACTGATCCGTTTGGCTACAATTGTAGAATTGTCAAAGGCATGCATCCAACATGGTCTATTATATTTTTGTTAAGAACTTGCCTTATTCTTCTGTTACATATCTCTATAAATAGAAAGGATGTTGCCTCCTTATTTACTTACTCCACAATAAGCATACAACATCATACTAAAAGTGATATTTCTCGTATTATAAACTAGAAAAAAACAATGTCTTTGGTTATGGCATCCCTCAAGAATCTCTTGCTCTCCCCTCTTCGTGGTTTCATCCACAAAGATTTCCATGATATCTTTGAGAGAATGACTCTCTTGGACAAGCTTTTTTTTCTGGTAAATTTTCACTTAGTTAATTATTCTGCTCTAATTCTTTATTGCCGTAATGCTTTACTTCTTCAGAAAAAACTAGATTTTACCTTTTGAGCTAATGGGAAGACAGCCTCCTACAATAAATTTGCGCTACTTTTGGTCCTTTTTGCTAGTATTTTTTTTTATTTTAAAAAGTACAAAGATCAAAGTTGAGAAAATAAGGACTATCCTCTAATTTTTTTATACTTTACATGTTAAAGTACAAAACTTAATACTAAAATAATCTCTTACCTCTAGCTTGGAATTGTATTAAAGTTTGTTCTTCTTGCATGCCACACCTATTCCTCTGCTTCATTATTTTTTTAATTTTTTGGGTTATGTACGTTTTAATTATTGTGACATGCATGCAGATTGTTCATTTCGTTGATAAACTGAATCTGTGGCACCGGCTACCGGTGTTCTTGGGGCTACTATATCTTGGAGCGCGGCGGCATCTGCATCAGGAATACAATTTGATCAACGTCGGCAAAACACCGGTCGGCGTCAGATCAAATCCGGCCGATCACCCTTATCGAACTGCTGACGGTAAATACAACGACCCTTTTAATGAAGGTGCAGGCAGTGAACTTTCATTTTTTGGGAGGAATATGCTACCTGTTGATCAGCATAATCAGGTATTATAAATTATATATATGGTTTCCCTCATCTTAAAATTCAACAATTGTCCAATAATCTTAGAAATGCTATGTTTATTTGGACTTTTAATAAATTATCAACCTCCTATTCGATCTATATATAATTCATTATCGGCATCATGATATAGTTTTTGTTGAATATTTCCTTTTCACAGTATTGGTTTACTTGACTTGTGTTCTTTCTTTTTCCGACACCATTTTTTTAATGTTAAATGTTTTACCTATAATTCGGTTTACCCTCTCTTTTATTTTAATTTTGTCGGTAGATTTTTGAGTTATGATTGTTATTTATAAAGTAGTACTTATTAGGAAGCATTGTTTTCGGTTTTGGTTTTGTTATTTTGTCAAACGAATCTTCCTTTCTTTGAGAACTTACTAAATAGGTCTCTCTCTCTCTCTCTCTCTCTCTCTCTCTCTATATATATATATATATATATATATATATATATATATATAATACGTTAGATGAAAAAAGAAATAAAGAAAATATATCATGATACAAGAAAAAATAAATATACAAATTAAGAGGATGAAGTTTAATGTAACGGTCAAAGTAAACACTGGATATGTAAAATCACTATTTTAGTTAGGGACAAAATTTTGAGATGGCATGAGAAAAATGTCTATAGTTAAAAATTGAAGAGGAAGTTTGATATTCAACACAAAGTTGTAACAGAGAAATTTTTGAATTCATATAGTATCTCAAGTTAATTTAATAATTGGGTTCATAACTATATAATTATTGATATTTAGAAGATTTCTAAATACATATACAAAATCTCAGTAAAAATTATTGGGTTCACATGAACTCATAGTAAATAATGAACTAGTCGGTGCTGGGATTTTCATTAAGAGATGTGAAAATTTAAAATACTAATATGAATAAGACAAGTGAAGTCATTACATACTCCCTCGGTTTCAATTTTGACTGGATAGTTTGACTCGAGACGGAGTATAAGAAAAAAAAAGACTTTTAAAATTTGTGATCTTAAAAACTAATTAAGGGGTAAAAGCTTTGTGGGACCATGATATTTGCATAGTTATAAAAACTTATGATTAAAGGTAAAAAAGACTAATCTTTCTTCACGTGTAGAAATCAATCAACAATACCCCACTAAAGAAAATAATGAACGTACAGTGCAGGGCTCTCTTGCGTTGACAATTAAGGTTGAGGGAAAAAAAACAAACTTTTCAGATGTGTCATTTTGTTTGTGGCGCAAAGGTGACCGTGCATGCATGGTCCCAATTCGCAAAACTTAATTAATTTCAGTTTTAAAACCTTCTCAGGGGGGCTAGTACTTGCTCAGTAGATACAACAGTGCTCGTAATATCTCGTAATCTTAGGCTATACTATTAATTAGGGCTACACAAGTTGGTTTATTTAAGCCCACCCATCTCCGAATTAAGCGACTCAAATATCATGCTTGATTAAAGATTTATACTATTAATGTATGTTAATTATACTTGATTTTATAAATAAGTTAAGCAATAGCAGTGTTTACAACTTAAAGGCTATATAGCAGTAAATATTGATAGCATTAATTATAGCAAGAGTGAAGAGTGTATGGAGACGAAGTTACTCTTTCAATTCCTTGCAAACGATCATTTCTAGTTCACTGTTATGGTGGTATGGTACTCCTACTTCCTTTGCCGTGCACTCACAAGCTAATAATAAGAAGAAGAAAAAAACCGACCACAGTAGATGCTAGTAACTAGTACGGGTTTACGTTAATTAGTTTTGTGGTTCTTTACAAACTTATTTTTATTTTATTTTATGACTCTATCTCTTTTTTTACACATGAGAGATTTATTTTTATACGTAAGAAATATGTGCTTTTAATTTTAAAATTGTAAAGGGACATAATGTATAAATAACACCGAGATTTTGGGGTCGGACATGCTGTGTAGAGTGGGCACTTTTGTCTAATAATTTGCGTAGTACATAGTACTTATTCAATAAGCTCAATGCTCACCAAATTCGTGCAGTTATTAATGCAGAGTTTGGCATTTATTTTTGTTAAGGAAAAGTCAACAAACCTAATTTGTAGAGGCATACATATAATTAAGAGAATTAATTGAGTAAATAATGGGCTCTAAACTGTTTTTTTTTTTCCTCTCAAAAAATGAAATGCAGTTAAAGAAGCCAGACCCAATGGTGGTAGCAACGAAGCTGCTAGCGAGGAGAAATGTTGTGGACACAGGAAAACAATTTAACATGATCGCTGCTTCTTGGATACAGTTTATGATTCATGATTGGATCGATCATCTGGAAGATACTAAGCAGGTCAGAGACTACTTAACCTATTTCCTTTTTGGTCCGTTCCATAAAGAATGACCCCTTTTTAAATTTGAAAATAATTTAGCTTAAACTTCCAATTCTACCCTTAATGAGAAGCTTTTATAACCACACAAAGATTCTGGACCCCATTTTAACTTGTTTAGAACCACAAATTCCAAAAGTTTTCATTTTTTCTTATACTCCATGCCCAGTCAAACAAGTTCACATAAATTAGAACATAGGGAGCACTACTCTTACATGCCACTTCTCAAAAAAATTAATTAATAACGGTATACTTTCCTATTTTAAATTTGGAAAATTATTTTTACTTGAATTTAATGTATATGTACTGACATTGTAATTAAGTTTTTACATAATTAATGTATTTTTAGCCAATTATAGCATGTTACTTACCTTTTATTCTAGGTACTAATTAATTAATCGATGAAGCGATTAATAAAGTTACATACAATTACCTTTTGATTATGCAATACTCCTATCTTTTACAACATCAATGTATAGAACTTAAACTCTTTCCACTTTTATCTTTCTAAAACAGCAAAAACTAAAATTCCATATAAATAGTTGAAGTTAGGTCCCTTTTTGTATTTCTATTTTTTTATTGCAAAAAGTTGGACACTATTTAATTAGCTTATTCAAAAATGTATTGAAAATACACCTCCGGTCTACTTTAATTGAATCTTTGAATTTTTTTTTTTTTTTTGTGGTCCACATTCACAATATAATATTTAATTTTTTCAGATATCAAGAAAGAATTAACTTCTTTTTTCCATATTCGCCCTTGGAGTAAAGAGTCTTGAAGTATCTATTATATTTCCAATGAGCAAATTAGGGTTAATAGTTCAATTTTGTTGTTAATTAATACTAAAAGGTGAATTCCTTAATATGTGTGAAAACATCAAAAAAAATCAATTAAAATAGACCGAAGGGAGTACTATCTTATGAAATAGAGCAAATGATGTAAACTTAGTATATTATTCGAAGAGAAAAAAAGAAATTCGGCAACACCCTTATGATATATCTTTGAATATTTTTCATTCAATTTGTAGAAATAAGCCAGTGGTGTACTTTTTTTGGCACTACTTTGTGAACAGATTGAGCTTAGGGCACCTGAAGAAGTTGCAAGTCAATGCCCACTAAAATCCTTTAAGTTTTTCAAGACCAAGGAAATTCCTACTGGCTTTTATGAAATCAAGACCGGTCACTTGAACAGACGTACCCCCTGGTGGTAAGATTGCATACTACTTTATTTAGATGGTACGTATTTTCTAATTTTATTTAGATGGTAAGTAATATATACTTGTACGTGAAGGGATGGAAGTGCTATATATGGGAGCAATGCAGAAGTTTTAAAGAAAGTGAGAACATTTAAATATGGGAAGCTGAAACTATCAGCAGATGGGCTACTCGAAATAGACGAAAATGGGAAAATCATATCTGGCGATGTTCGTAACACTTGGGCTGGACTTTCGGCACTACAGGCTCTCTTTGTTCAAGAGCATAATTCTGTTTGTGATGTCTTGAAGGTACTAATCATATTAGAATTTAACTTTTATACACTAAAAATATATGATATAATTACAGGTAACTATCCAACAATAGTAAAATTAATAACCTAAAGTTAAAAAAGTTTACCTCCTACGGCTTAAGAAGGGGAGCCTTTGGCGTAACCGATAAAGATGTTGCCATGTGACCTGGTCGTAGGTTTAAGCCGTGGAAACAGGCTCTTGCAGAAATGTAGGGTAAAGCTGCGTACGATAGACCTTTGTGGTCCGGCCCTTGCCCGGAACCCGCGCATTGCAGGAGCTTAGTGCACCGGGCTGCCGTTTTTTACCTCCTACAGCTTAAAATCGTCGATATTATTATTATTATTATTAATGAGTCTTTCTTTAACTTGATTTGCTATGTTGCAGAAAGAATATCCAGAATTGGAGGACGAAGACTTGTATCGTCATGCAAGGCTGGTTACTTCTGCTGTTATTGCAAAAGTTCACACCATAGATTGGACTGTTGAGCTTCTCAAAACCGATACCCTTCTAGCAGGAATGCGTGCCAATTGGTTAATGCTCGCTCCCTTATATATAGTACTAGTGTTTTCATTTTGCCATAAGGGATAGATCGGTTGGAAAACAAGTTATCCCATAATTAATTATCTCATTGTGTTGTCAGACTAATAATTTAAATTACATTGCAGGTATGGATTACTAGGGAAGAAGTTTAAGGATACATTTGGGCACGTTGGAGGTTCCATTTTGGGTGGTTTTGTAGGAATGAAAAAACCTGAGAATTATGGAGTGCCTTATTCCTTGACTGAGGAATTTACAAGTGTTTATCGGATGCATCAACTTCTACCTGATAACCTGCAGCTGAGGAATATAGATGCAACACCTGGACCAAACAAATCTCTCCCTTTGACTAATGAGTAAGGCGACATTAATATGTATATATATTCTACGTGGTAAAATACTATTTCGCCAAAAATAACATTTCCCTATTTGCAAGTATAAATTTGATTAAAAGTATAAAATTAATAAAATGGGCAGTCGGGTGCACTAAGCTTCCGCTATGCGCGGGTCCGGGGAAGAGTAGGAGCACAAGGGTCTATCGTACGCAGACTTACCCTGTATTTCTGTAAGAGGCTATTTCCACGGCTCGAACTTGTGAGGCTGTGACCTCGTGGTCATATCACAAAAACTTTACCAACTACACTAACACTCCCCTTCATAAGTATAAAAATAATGACCAATAGTAATTGAAATAGTGAATTTTTTGTTTTTCAACTGAAATTAATAGAAGTTTCTGATTTTTGTTTCACGCAACACTTTAACCTTTTTCTTTAAAGTGAAATTCATGTTTAAACACAACTTAGCTTTCAAACGACTTTTCAACATCAATCTCTAGTAGTACATATTTCTTCGACTTCATTCAAATATTTTTCAAACCCCTACTGAATATGGCTTGTATTTACAAATGTAGTTTCCTTGAAATTGTAGGATTCCCATGGAAGATTTAATTGGGAGCAAAGGAGAGGAGAATTTAGCAAGAATTGGTTTTACTAAGCAAATGGTATCAATGGGTCACCAAGCCTGTGGAGCTCTTGAGCTTTGGAATTATCCAATGTGGATGAGGGATCTTATTCCTCAAGATGTCGATGGCACTGATAGGCCAGATCATGTTGACCTTGCTGCCCTTGAAAGTAAGTTCATTTTATACTAGAATAGATAGATTGTCAATTTCAACTATGATTATTAGACTTTACTTGTTATAACAATAAAATCATAAACTATATTTTTTTCATATTAAAAATTGAAATATGTATAAATTTCTCAACCGAAAAAAAAAACACTGGAGGTTCAAATTTTCCACGCCGGGTTATGACATGTTACTCTCCTCGTCTTTGCCACTTTGTAACTTCCAACAATAATAACAATAAACCTAGTGTAATCCCACATTGTAGGGTTTGAAGAGGGTAGAGTACACGCAGACCTTACTTTTACCTTGTGAATGTAGAGAAGTTGTTTTCGACAGATCCCCAACTCAAAGTAAAAAAAAAAAAGAGAGTCAGAAATACCAATTGGAACAACATCGAGATAGGTGAATCAAACTATACGGAGATAGAATAATTGAAGCAAACGAATTTATAACTTCCACCTAAGAAAATTAAAAATTCTACCACTAAAATTTTTTGAACAAAAGATAATTTAAAAAACATTTTTTCTATTTTTTCATCTAATTTTTTATATTTCTCTTAGAACACTAGTAAATTAGATCTTTCTAGTTTCCACACATTTAGTTGATTATGATTGGATATATGGCAGTTTATAGAGACAGAGAAAGGAGCGTTGCTAGGTACAATGAATTTCGTAGAGGAATGCTGCAAATTCCCATCTCCAAATGGGAAGATTTGACAGATGATGAAGAAGTCATTAATACACTTCGTGAAGTATATGGTGATGATGTAGAAGAATTGGATCTGATGGTTGGAATGGCTGCGGAGAAAAAGATAAAGGGTTTTGCCATCTCCGAGACTGCCTTTTTCATATTCCTCATCATGGCATCAAGGTTGGTAAATAAAACAGAAATAAGTTATATTAAATTTTATACCCCGATAGTATAATAAAAATAATTTACGAGCCGTGTATTTTAATTTAGTGTAGCACGTAACAAATCCTAATTTTTATGCATTATCTACTGCAATCTTTTACGTGATCTATTACTGCATCCATTAGAGGGGGAGTCAGCCTTGGTTTAACCGGTAAAGTTGTTGTTATGTGATCAGGATGTCACGGATTCGAGCAGTGGAAACAGCCCCTTGCAGAAATGCAGGGCAAGGCTGCATGCGTATAAGAGACCCTTGTGGTCCGGTCCTTTCCCGAACCCCACACATAGCGGGAACTTAGTGCATTGGACTACCCTTTTTACTATTAGAAGGGGAGCCACTGGTAATGTTGTTGCCATGTGATCAGGAGATCACGGGTTCCAGCCATGAAAACAGCCTCTTGCAAAAATGCAGGGCAAGACTGTGTACAAGAGACCCTTGTGGTCCGACCCTTCTTCGGATCCTGCACTTAGCGGAAGCTTAGTGCACTGAACCGTAATTTTTATCTACTACTACAATCTTTTACGTGATCTATTAGTGTATAAAAGTTAAATCCATTTTTATGATAAGTAATAAAATAGTAAAAATGGTAATTGACCTGTACGTCATCACTGTATTGATAATATAATTTTTTTAATGTGAAATCTTTTGAAGAATTACCAATAGAATGTTGATTTGCAAATATGTAGGAGGCTAGAGGCAGACAGATTTTTCACCAGCAATTACAACGAGGAGACATATACAAAGAAAGGACTGGAATGGGTGAATACAACAGAAAGCTTGAAAGATGTGTTAGATCGACATTACCCAGAGATGACAGAGAAATGGATGAACTCCAGCAGCGCATTCTCTGTTTGGGACTCTTCTCCAGAACCTCACAATCCTATTCCACTCTACTTTCGCGTTCCTCCACAGTAAATCCATCATTCGACTTATCAAGGCAACCACATATTGGAATTCTACAGCATTCCTGCACGTTTTATTAAATTTAAATATGAAAATAATGTGCTTGATTTAATTTTACCTTCAAGTTTGTAATAAACTGAGAATAGTCGACCAAATTCATTGTTTACTTTTTCTAGCCGAGATACATGGACTATACATTGATTATACATAATTATATACATACTATATATGAATTATATATATTCGTCGGAGTTTTTTAGTTTAAGACAGTGCCGGCTTTGACCCCTGCAAAAGCGAAAGCTTTAGGCCCCCAAAAATAGGAGGCCCCAAAATTTACTACTTTTTTGTGTTTATAAATTATAACATATGTTTTATCTATTAATATAAAATAATTACTACTCATAGTTACGATTAATTATAAGAAATTTTTTTCGATCATTTACTGGCTTACTGCCAACTTACAAACAATCATTAGTCACATATATAGTTACGTATTTTATGTTATGTTTTAATAGATGTACTTGCGGTCATTATGAATAGAAGTGGTCGATAATTAAATCTGCAATTACTTTATACTTATTTCACTCTAATTTGAATCACTTTTGTTTACAACTTTAGTTGTGTATATTTTTTGTTAGGACCGAAAAAAAAGTTAGGTGTCATGCGGATGCTAGCAAGCAAACCTTCAACAACGATAAATCAGACAACAAAGGAGAAATCTACCAAAAGAGACACAAACATTTATCGTGGTTCGGTCAACTGACCTACGTCCACGATGGAGATGAGCAATCCACTATATAAAAAGAGAGTACAAAATATCGAGAGAACAACCTCACGAAGAGGCAAACACAAGTGACACTCTAACACTTGTCCCGTAAAGATCTCCCCCTAAACAAGACTCTCAAGCCCCCTATGGCTATGGCAACATTGTGGATGCTACTGAATGAGAAGGGCGGATCCTCAATTTATAGAACTCCAAACATTTTCCTACAAGAAAAAGGACTAGCCAAATATTGGACATTTATAATTTCCTTTTACAAAAAGGAAAACCTAGTTAAGGTAATTATATTGCCCTTTTCCTTCAAGAGATAGGAAAACCAAATATGGTAAGAAAATTATGACAAACACCTAACAAAAACCACGGGATCACAAAGATCCAAAAAGCTCCACCATAACAATAAGAGGGTTACAAAAGTTCTCCAAATTGGCTACACAACAAGGGCCAAACACGGAGCAACAATAGCAACAAGAGCAACAACTAATCAATTGAAGAAAGAGTATAATCCACAAAATGAAGCGGCTGTTCGAAGCTCGAAATCAGATGCTATGAGCCTCCAAATCCAATCTCCACCGTTCAAATCCAAGACCAAGATGTTACGAACACTCAGTCAAAATTTTAGCCCGATCCAACGGTTAACGAATCGGAAAACGTGATTTGAAGTTGGCTGGTCGGAATAAAAATCTGCAGCAAAACAAATACTTTTTCCTCTCTTCTCTCTTGATGAAAGCTCTCTCAAAACCCACTCTTATGTGCTTAAGTCTTTCAAAGACTTGTATCAATGAGCATAGAATAATTCTCCAAGGTTGTCCTATATATAGATCATGAGTGGTGCTTTCTCTTAAAGCCAAAACCCACTTAAAATAGGAATAAACCGAATCCAATTCCAAATAGGATTAGAAACCAAAAGAGAATAGGATTAGGCCATTTGGCCTTTGGCTGGACAACATGGGCATGTGCCCAACAAACTCCCCCTCCAGCCAAGGGGCCAAATGTGTCTTTAAGTAGAGGAACTATTGACAGGCTTCATGCCTGCCAATTTTCTACAAAATTCATGTTTATCTACAACCACCGCCTTTGTCAGCATATCCGAAGGATTTTCATCAGTGTGTATCTTCTCAACCTCAAATAATTTCTCTTCCACGTCCATTCTTATCCAATGATACTTTCTATTTATATGTTTGGTCTTAGAATAAAAAGTGGAGTGCTTGGTGAGACAGATAGCACTCTGATTATCACAAAATAAGATGTACCGTGGCTGCTCAAAGCCAAGATCATTAATAAACTCCTTCATCCATAATAGTTCTTTGGCACCTTCTGTGACAGCAATATATTCGGCTTCTGTGGTGGATAGAGCTATGCACTTCTGTAGTCTAGATTGCCAAGAAACAGGTCCCCCTGCAAAAGTGATCAAATAACCGGAAGTGGATCTTGAATTATCAAGATTGCCTCCTAAATCAGAGTAATGAGAGCTTAGTTGATATTGATCCAGTTTCAATTGCTAAGGCACCTATTGCACATGAAGGAACCCAAGACAATGATGGAGATAGTGATCAAGATCAAAATGATCATCATGGTGTAGATGTTATGGATGCTCCAGTTGATGAAGTTGTGGTTGATCAGCAACCAATTCCTGCACAGGTAACTACTACGAATGCTCCTGAAACCTCTCTTAGAAGATCTACAAGGGAGAAGCAAAAATCCATGCGCTATCCTCCTGATGAGTATGTACTTTTGACTGACATGGGAGAACCTGAGCATTATGATGAAGCCATGCAAGATAATCACAAAGATCATTGGATCAAAGCGATGGAAGATGAGATGAAGTCACTCCATGAGAATGGCACATATGAGTTAGTGAAATTGCCGAAAGGTAAGAGAGCTTTATCTAACAAATGGATATTCAGAATAAAGCAAGATAACCATACATTTGCGCCTAGATACAAGGCGAGGTTAGTTGTTAAAGGTTTTGGCCAGAAGAAAGGAGTTGACTTTGATGAAATTTTCTCCCCTGTTGTGAAGATGTCTTCTATTAGTGTGGTTCTAGGCTTAGCCGCAAGTCTAGATTTAGAGGTTGAGCAGATGGATGTCAAGACTATTTTTCTTCATGGTGATTTAGATGAGGAGATTTATATGGAGCAACCTGAGGGTTTTGTAACTAAGGGAAAAGAAAATTATGTCTGTTATGTCGAGGAAGAGGCAAACCCGAAAATAAAGAAGATAAATAACACCAAATTTTAACGTGGAAAACCCTTCAAATCGAAGGTAAAAGCTGTTAGGATAAACTAGCCCAAATACACTCTTAATATGGTGTGATATTGTCCGCTTTGGGCCAAGCCTGCACGGTTTTTCCCAAAAGGCCTCACACCATTAAGAGATCCTTACACCTTAAATGTGGACTCCCAATCTTTTCAGCTACCAATGTGGGACTTTGTTCGCACACCCAACATTTTTTTCTTTTCAAACTACCGTAGACACGTTTCAAGTAAATTAGCTCGTGAAAAAACTTCAAATTAGAATATAAGTATTTAGCACATGATCGTTGCTTTGGAAGGCCGTTATCAAAATTATATTTAAAAAAATCTTATTTAAGATTAACAAAGTTTCAATAAAGGTTAAGTGGATTGGTTACAATATCAATTGAAAAAAAAAATCTATAAAAACTGATTATAAAAGATAATTAGCAACTTTGCATCTCAAAAAATAAACTTCAAAAAGAAAAATATGAGAATTTTATTAAATACGTCCAAGGCCTCATATTAAATATTTGGCTTTAGGCCAACTACTCTAGTGAGCCGCCTCTGATTTAAGGATTAGGTAGGCGGTTATTTGAGTTAATATTGTTAGAACATGTGCAGCGGAAGCAAGCATACAACCAGGCATTAAATACATGTAAACTAGACAATGCTATAATCACTAGATTAGAAGAACTAACCTCTTGAAATCGTTGCACAAATCCTCCACACAGCAAGAATCCAGGGCTGCAGCTAGGGGTGTACAAAGGAAACCGACAAACCGCACCAATCCGATAATCCGAGTCAAACCGAGAAAAAAAAACGACTATAGTTTGGTTTGATTTGGTTTGGTGTTGGAAAAAAAAACCCGACCATAATTGGTTTGGTTTGGTTTTAACTAAAGAAAGTCAAACCGAAACCAAACCAACCCGACATTAAATATATAGAAATTTTAGATATATTTAATATACAAATATACTTATTGTGATGTAATTTATAAATATTTCTTAAAAAAATTCATAATTTTATCTTTTAAGGTATTTCAAGGTTGGAGTTAGAACTTTTAAATGTTCCAATAAGTTTTATAGCCTAGTAAATTAAATAATGCTAACAAAAGCCCAAACCAAAATCAAATCAATACTAATGCTAAAAAAAGACATTCAATTCAATACTACTAACGGGAATGTATTGAATATCTATTTTTTGTTTGCAATAATTTAGATAAAAATGCATAACCTATTTTTATTTTTTCTTTAGCGTTTAGTCATGTAATTAATGCTCCCTTATTATTCTACTTATTTTAGCATGACTTAGTACTTTTAGATTATGTTTATTTTTATTATGACTTTTTAATTAACAATATTTATATTACATAATTTTATTGTCTTTATTGTTGAATATTTAAGGATAATGCCATGACACATCTCATATTTTGTATTATTTTCCTAGAAAGTACTTTATATTGTTGTAACTTACTAGGATTAAAGAAATATTTTGAGCAAAAGTTATATGTTTTGTTCTACGAAGATTTTACAGGAAAAACCCGAAAAAATCCGAATAACCCGAAAACCCGAGAAAACCCGAGAAAAACCGAGATTGAAAAACCCGAGTTTTATTGGTTTGGTTTGGTCTTTAGATTTAATAACCCGACACAATTGGTTTGGTTTGGTAATTGTAAAATCCGAACCAACCCGACCTATGTACACCCCTAGCTGCAGCCTTCTGCACTAACCTCTTAAAACCTTGGACAATTTTGCTTTTGGGTGCGCAAGAACAATACAACTCTAAAAGGTGAGTTATTGGGTGAAATTAGTCTTCCTTAAGTAGACTAGTTTTTGGCCGAAAATCTGCTCCAAAAACGTGTAGGATTCAGCTTTCACGAGTAGAATCCTACTCCAACTCTACCAGATAACTTTTCTCCCAAGTCACTTTTTACCCAAGTCAAGTCTAGGTTTTTACTATGTATAGCAGGGACCATAGAAATAACAAGAGGCTACCAATTATAGCATTAATCCGAAATTAGCATGAATTAATTCTTACTATAATTAATTGCAGTTTATTCCACCAAAAAACTGCAATTGAACTCCTCAACATGAATTTCGAAAATTCAATAATACTTATTTTAACTCCACATGTTAAGATCTCAAATACCAGTCAATTAAATTAAA